TGTGTTGTTGGTTCAAAAGACTTCAATGGAGATGCTGCAGAAAATACATGTAGTGCGTTTTTGTTGCGTTTGACATGCTATTGATGCATTTTGCATTTTTAATGTGCCCAGCAACAAGTTGTCCAAAAACAAAAAATAAAAAAAATCGCAAAACGCATAAAAAAAGCAACAAAAACGCAAAATGCATAAAAAAAAAGCAAGAAAAACGCAAAACGCACTGCAAAACTGACAAAACGCAGACTGCATTGGTGTGAACCAGGCCTGAAATGTATTGAAAATGCAGCAAAAAAAAACGCATTTAAAACGCACGTGTTGCTTCTTTGATGCGTTTTGTGTTTTTAATCTGCCCGGCAACAAGTTGGCCAGAAAAAAACTCAAAAATCCAAAAAAGCAAAACACATAAAAAAAAGCATCAAAAACGCATGTGCAAAAATGCAAAAATCGCTGCAAAATGGACAAAACACAAACTGCATTGGTGTGAACAAGGCTAGAAATGCATTGAAAGCGCAGCAAAAAATGCTTTAAAAAATGCACGTGTTGTGTTTTTTTTTATGCATTTTTAATCTGCCCAGCAACAACTTGGAAAAATGTTTTTTTTTTTTTATGCAAAATGCAACAAAACCGTACATGCCAAAACGCACTGCAAAATGGACAAAATGCAAACTTCATCAATGTGAACTAGGCTTGAAATGCATTAAAAATGCTGCAAAAAAATGCGTCGAAAACGCACACGCGTTGTGGTTTTGATGCTTTTTTTTGAGTCACAAATGAAAAACGCACACCTTAGGCCCGGTTCACACTAGTGCAGGTCATGCGGCCTGCTTTTGCGTTCATTCGAATGGGCTGCTGTGCCCGTGGTGCACGCCAGGAAATGGTGCATGAACCTTTTCTGAAATGCATCTGCACAGAAACCCCCCCCCCCCCCCCCCCCATGTGTCTTCCATGCTGTTTCTGCATCTGCGATCGTACCGCCATTGTACTGCGGGATGCGATGCGTGGGGCCCCCCCTGCGTCTCACAAGAGAAGCGTATTGCGGCTGCGGGTGGTTTACGGGTGCGGGAATCGCATCGATTCCAACAACCGACCCGCAGAGTGCAGGCTAGTGTATCCCGAGTTGTTATTGTAAAAGAAGTAAAAAGAAAAGAAAATCCCAAATTTTGTGTTGTCCCCATAAGAGTAATAGAGGGGAAATCCTCCAATGGGGACACTAGTTGTGGGGTGGACCTGGGGGGGGAATCCTCCAATGGGGACACTAGTTGTGGTGACCTGGGGGGAAATCCTCCAATGGGGACACTAGTTGTGGTGACCTGGGGGGAAATCCTCCAATGGGGACACTAGTTGTGGTGACCTGGGGGGGAAATCCTCCAATGGGGACACTAGTTGTGGTGACCTGGGGGGGAATCCTCCAATGGGGACCCTAGTTGTGGTGACCTGGGGGGGGGAAAAAAAGGAATCCTCCAATGGGGACACTAGTTGTGGTGACCTGGGGGGGGAAATCCTGCAATGGGGACACTAGTTGTGGTGACCTGGGGGGGGGGGGGATCCAACAATGGGGACACTGGTTGTGGTGACCTGGGGGGGGGGGGGAATCCTCCAATGGGGACACTAGTTGTGGTAACCTGGGGGGGAATCCTCCAATGGGGACACTAGGTGGTGACCTGGGGGGGGGGGGAAATCCTCCAATGGGGACACTAGTTGTGGTGACCTGGGGGGGGGGATCCTCCAATGGGGACACTAGTTGTGGTGACCTGGGGGGGGAAAATGCTCCAATGGGGACAATAGTTGTGGTGACCTGGGGGGGAAATCCTCCAATGGGGACACTAGTTGTGGTGACCTGGGGGGGGGAATCCTCCAATGGGGACACTAGTTGTGGTGACCTGGGGGGGGGGGGGAATCCTCCAATGGAGACACTAGTTGTGGTGACCTGGGGGGGGGAATCCTCCAATGGGGACACTAGTTGTGTTGACCTGGGGGGCCCCCAAGGAATTCCCAGAATCACTTAGTGACCGCCCACCCAGAATGTACTGTGGATGGGCGGCCGCTGGAGGCAAACCAATGTACCCGTAAGTCCCCGCCTACTGCCGGGTTTTGGCCCCGCCCACCTACTCCTGCTGTGATTGCACACAGCGGAAGCCTGTCAGCAAGTCCCAGCCAATGATTCGTGGTCGGGACCTGCTGATCGCTGTGTCCAATCACAGCCCAGAGCCCTGTGCTGGTAAACAACACAGAGCTCTGTACAGAGGGAGCGATCTGTCAGTTTCACAGTAGAGGGTCCTGCACTTTTTTTTTGTGGGTGCGGTGCGATTTGAACCAAACATAATGTATGACTCCAATCACATGTGATGTGTACAGGAATGCGGTGCGGTTCCTATGTGAATCACATGCGATATGTGGCACCGCATCAGTGTGAACCCGGCTGGCTCAGGCACAGTGTTGGCATGGCTGTGTAATATAAATGAGGGATCGCTGGGCAGTGAAGGGACATCTACAAAGTCGCTGTCTGGAAGTTGGTTCTGTAACATTTGTGGACTTTGTCGCCATCCTGTGTAGAAAAAGGGAATGGCACATTAAACACAATGCAAGGATAAAGCGGTATTAAGCTGGGATCACATATATGCGGTGCGGTACATCACATGTCATTCACATAGGAACCGCACCGCATTCCTCTGCCAATCACATGTGACTTGTGTGCGGTGTGATCGGAGCCGAACATTTTGTATGGCTCAAATTGCATCACATCTTAACCAAAAAAGATGCAGAACCCTTTTTTTTGTTCCACACTAGAATCGGATCACACGGGTATTCACACCTATGCGATCCGATTCTGCACATCGCACCGCATTTTGTGGACCGATTTCGGGGTGTTGTTAACTTAACAACATGAAACAGCGATACAAACCATTATATAACCAAAAAAACCGAAGTGAGGAAATAAATATATATTAGAAGAAAAAATAGTAGAAAAAAAATATGAATATGAATATATCTATCTCTATGTCTCTGTGTGTCTCTAGGTCTCTATATGTCTCTATGTCTCTGTTTCTCTATGTCTCTGTGTGTCTCTATGTGTCTCTATATGTCTCTATGTCTATGTGTGTCTCTATGTCTCTGTGTGTCTCTATGTCTATGTGTGTCTCTATGTCTCTGTATGTCTCTGTCTCTGTGTATCTCTATGTCTCTATGTGTCTATGTCTCTAATTTTTTGTTTTATTTATATCTATATATATATAAAAAAACAAAAACCACACAAAAAATAAAGTTTTTAGGGGGGACCAACATAAGAGTACTTCAAAACAATCAAGTTCAATCAATAATGTGTTCATTCAGTGAACCCTCCTTTGGATAATGAAAAATATGTACATCTGTCATCAATTCCGGTGCAGAGACGTCCTCCACCATATATCTGCTCACCTCACGCAGTGTGACGCACATTATACAATGTTACGGTCTAACTGCACTTTTGGTCCCATATGGACTCAGAAGACCAACTTGTTGAATAAAGACTCCAAAGTCAGCTCCCTCCTGATGAGTGTCTTTGTATCAGCCGTATTCCTCATTAAAAAGAACTCGACATGGTGCTTTATCCTGTAAAACTTTTATTCATCAATTAAAACATATGAAATGCACTCAGGTTCCGGAGGTGTATATTGCACCAGGTATGATGAAGATCCAGTGATGTACTGATTGAACACAAGATGGCAGTATCATCTCAGCAGCAGAGTCCTGTACATGCTCAAAAGTATAATGTAATGCAATAATTTCATTTCCATGTTCTGTGTACTGTAGGAGGCCAGAGATAGTGAATGCAGGGTCCAGGGAGACCAGATATAGTGAATGCAGGGTCCAGGGAGAGCGGATATAGTGAATGCAGGGTCCAGGGAGACCAGATATAGTGAATGCGGGGTCCAGGGAGACCGGATATAGTGAATGCAGGGTCATAGGGAAAACCAGATATAATGAATGCAAGGAACTGGGAGACCGGATGTAGTGAATGCAGGGTCTGCGGAGAGCGGATATAGTGAATGCGGGGTCTGGGGAGACCTGATATTGTGAATGCAGGGTTCTGGGAGACCAGATCTAGTGAATGCAGGGTCCGGGGAGACCGGATATAATGAACGCAGGGTCCGAGGAGACCAGATATAGTGAATGTAGGATCCTGATAGACCTGATATAATGTATGCAGGGTTGGAGATTGGATATAGTGAATGCAGGGTCCAGGGAGACCAGATATAGTGAATGCAGGATCCGGGGAGAGCAGATATAATGAATGCGGGGTCTGGGGAGACCAGATATAGTAAATGCAGGTTCCGGGGAGACAGGATATAGTGAATGCAGGGTCCGGGGAGACAGGCTATAGTGGATGCAGGGTCTAGGGAGACCAGATGTCTCTATAGTGAATGCAGGGTCCAGGGAGACCATATATAATCAATGCGGGGTCCTGGGAGACAGGATATAGTGAATGCATGGTCTTGTGAGACCAGATATAGTAAATACAGGGTCCGCGGAGACCAGATATAGTGAGTGCACGGTCCGGGGTGACCAGATATAATGAATGCAGGGCACTGGGAGAACGGATGTAGTGAATGTAGGGTTCGGGTAGACCATATATAGTGAATGCAGGGTCTATGGAGAGTGGATATAGTGAATGCAGGGTCCAGGGAGACCAGAAATAGTGAATGCAGGGTCCGGGGAGAGCGGATATAGTGAACGCAGGGTCCTGGATGACCGGATATAGTGAATGCTTGGTCTGGGGAGACCAGATATAGTGAATGCAGGGTCATGGGAGACGAGAGTGGATATAGTGAATGCAGGGTTCGTGGAGAGTGGATATAGTGAATGCACGGTTCGGGGAGAGCGGGTATAGTGAATGCAGGTTTCGGGGAGACCAGATATAGTGAATGCAGGGTCTGGGGAGAGCGGATATAGTGAACGCAGGGTCCTGGATGACCGGATATAGTGAATGCAGGGTCCGGGGAGACCAGATATAGTGAATGCAGGGTCTGGGGAGACCAGATATAGTGAATGCAGGGTCATGGGAGACCGGATATAGTGAATGCAGGGTCCGGGGAGACCAGATATAGTGAATGCAGGGTCTGGGGAGACCAGATATAGTGAATGCAGGGTCATGGGAGACCGGATATAGTGAATGCAGGGTTCGGGGAGAGCGGATATAGTGAATGCAGGGTCCGGGGAAACCAGATATAGTGAATGCAGGGTCCGGGGAGATCAGATATAGTGAATGCAGGGTTCGGGGAGACCGGATATAGTGAATGCAGGGTTCGGGGAGACCGGATATAGTGAATGCAGGGTTCGGGGAGACCGGATATAGTGAATGCAGGGTTCGGGGAGACAGGATATAGTGAATGCAGGGTCATGGGAGACCGGATATAGTGAATGCAGGGTCCGGGGAGACCAGATATAGTGAATGCAGGGTCCGGGGAGACCGGATATAGTGAATGCAGGGTAGGAGCTGGTACTGCAGCCCACAGAGCAGGTGAGCCACAGAACCACCAGTGCTGAGTCTTTTCCTGACGGGTGTGGTTGCAAGGTGGAAAGCTCTGCTGAGCTCCAGGAAGGCCCGAGAAGCCTGGGGCTAAAGTGCCCTGCTCAAGCCCAGGGAGGATGGCGGATCCTGGGACTGAGTCCAGTGGTGGGAGACCCCCGGAGGCGCCTAGTACCGGTCCTGGCTTCCCATCTGTGGAGGACCTGGGAACAGCCCCAAAGAAGGGGAAAGGATACGCAGAGTATAGAGGCCGGGTAGCTGCCCGGATAAAGACTGTGGAGAAAGAGGAGGCCAAGCTGGTCAAATTGAGCATGGAGCTCAAGAAGATGCACTCCAGTTATGATCGGGTCTGGAGCTCAAAAAGACAGGCCATGAAGCCTGGTCTGGAGGCCTTAAAGCAGTGGGTCTCCATCCAAGAGAAGTATGTGGCGGCCCTCAAGAGAAAGAGCGGAGTCTTGAGGGAGAAATATGCAAACGATAGCCACTTTAAAGCAGCTAGGAGCAAGTGTGTGGCGGTGGCAAGAGGCCCTGTGGACGAGGTCTCCTCCATGGAGGAACTGTCGGATGCATCAGTGATGGGAGGTGAACCGGTGCAGGGGCTGGCTGAGCCCGCTGCAGTGATTTCGGAAATGGCGCCGGCTGATACGGAGGACGTCGAGGCTGTGTATGAGTCAGGCTCCCTCCCCCTCAGACAGCAGAGCGCGGATTGGGGAACGCAAGTGGAGGAGGCGGAGACCGCGGGAAAGCTCAGCTTCGTCCAGGAAATGGAGCCGGCATTGAGAAGTGATCACTTCCGTTTTGCTTCCGAGGATTCCGGAAATGAAGAAGAAAATATGCCGCGTAAGCCGGTGAAGAAGGACCGGGCGTTTTTTGTCCAACTGTGGAGCTCCGTGTCAGTAAAAGATGGCGTGCTGATGGCCGAAGGTGTGCTGCAGGACTCTGCAAAGTCTGGTGGTGACTCACCGATGGACATCCCTGCGGGTGATATGTCTGGGGCTATACCTATAGTGCAGGCTCCTCCTGCAGTGCAGGGTTTGGGTGGTCCGGGTTCCTCTGTCCCCCTGGTGCAGGCTCCCATTGGCTTCGCCCCCTTGAAGGCTGTGGAAGGTGTTGGGGTTGTGTCTGTCATGTTGGGGTCCCCATCTGGTGGGCTGATTTCCCAAACCCTAGCCCCTGTGGGTCAGGAACTGCTTAGTTTCTCTGTAATTGTTTCCATGGTACAGGTGCGGGCCTCCCAGGGCTCTGCTTTGTCCAGTCCCCCTCTGGTAGTCCGGGTCCCCAGGTTCAGGGGTCGAACCTGGTGGTCCCTGGTCCTCAGGTTCAGGCTCCTTCTGTTGCCCTGGCTGCAGTCTCCCGGGACCCTGCTCCTTCTGTTGGGAGTACCCCCGCAGTTTCATCCGCTTTAAGCTACTCAGCGGTGGTTAGGGGTGGGCAGGGGCTAACCAGGCCAATGCAAGCTACCAACATCTGCTGCCCACAGAAATGTCATCCAGTTAAAAAGGACAGGGGAGGGCCCCCCTTTAGGTCGGAGGGAAGTAATTGATAGTATTCTTGAGATGGGCTATAAAGCAACAGATCTGTTTGCTTTCATTGCCCCAGTCGGTACGGGCGAAAATGATGTATCTTTTATGCGGCCGGAATTGCTAGATCTTTTTTGGCAAAGATATGATTCCATCTATGCCCGTAGCCTGAGGTGGGTTGGTCTGTCCCCAAAATTGATATCTTGCCAGAACGTGGTCAAGAAAATCACGGTTCTGGTGAGAAATGAGTCGATCCCCCCTGCAGATATTGTAGTGTGGCTGGGGAGATATGGGGATGTTATGGCGCCCCTGAGTAAAATTACGGATGAAAGGGGGATCTGGACAGGCGGGTGGACGACCACCGTCCGCTTGAGGGTGGAGGGGAATGTGCTCCAGCATATTCCTTCCTCTACCTTCCTTAGCAGGGATAGGTTAATAATTTTTTATCCTGGCCAACCGCGGGTATGTCACCGGTGTGGAGCCAAGGGGCATTTTGCCGCCACCTGTCCTATGATGTGCTGCTCCTTGTGCCAGGAGATTGGGCGCCTGGCCAAGGATTGCAGCTTAATAAGGTGCAACTTGTGTGGTTCTGTGGGGCATTCCTATAATTCATGTCCTGAAGCCCTCCGTAACATCTCAGATAGGGGGATAATAGCTGAATTAGACAGGCTGGATGCCGAGGATGCGGCGGAGGAGGTAGTGAAGGCCACCCTGCCTTCTGGGGCAGGCCTTGGGGAGGTGGAGGAGGTTTCTGTGGTCCCTGAGGTTGCCCTGGTTGAGTCTACAAACCTAGTTAGGATTCCAGTAGTATCATCCGTGGTGTCCATCCCCCTTCAAAAGAAGGGAAAGAAATTGGTGGAGGCAGCCAAAGGGGCTGGGGTGGTGGAGGTTACAGTTGGGCCTTCTGTGCCCATTCCTCCGGTTCTCCTCCCGCTGCATCGGGATAAGGTGCCTGATAAGGTATCCCAGGGATCCTAGGCTCCTATTCAGGGAGGTCAGGTGGGGGTCCAGGTGGAGGAAGGGTGGTCCACAGTTAAGGGTGGACCTTTCCAAGAAAACTAAAAGGAAGGTTAAGAAGCGCCATTCTCAATTACCTTAATGGCAGTTCCCGCTCCGATAAAGGTGGCAACCATTAAGGTGGCCAGCATAAAATCTGTAAGTGCTAGAGAAACGGCCTTATTTTTTCTCAGCAATATTGATGCTGATGTTTTATTTTTGCAGGAGACCCGGTTGTGTAGCTTGGCTGACGTTTATCTGGTCAAAAGGGAGTGGAGGCGTGGTCCATCTTTCTGGTCTCTTGCGGCCGAGCCTTACAGCGGAGTTGCGGTGCTTTTTACCGGTATGGTAACGTGCCGGCGGGTAATTGAGGTGGAGATTGGAAGATGTCTGATCTTGGATGTCCTTGTGAGGGGTCAGGAACCGCGCCTAATCAATATCTATGGACCGCAGTCCAAATGGGACAGGAAATGTGTCTTCACAAAGATCAAGCCTTTCCTTTTTACGTCCCGGCTGGTGGTCTTTGGAGGTGATTTTAACACCGTAACTAGGCCCAAGGACAGGAGGGGCTCCATAGACAGGCTGGGATATGATAGCGTTTTTCTGAATGCTATAGTCAGGGAAGCAGGTCTGGTGGTTAAGAGCAGCCCAGACAGCACGGGTTTCACGTTTAGGAGAGGTAATAGTCAGAGTAGGATAGACAGGTTTTTTTTAAAGGAGGACTCTGCCTCTCAGCTCCTGAGTGTCAGGCGGTGGAGTTCTCTGATCACCTTATACTTACTGTGACTTTGAATATTTCAGACACGCTGCTGAGAGAAAAGGGCATCTGGAGAATGAATTAGTCTCTACTGGAAGACGAGGAGGTGAGATGATCTTTTGAGGAGTTCTTTCAGGCTCAGGTGACATTGCTGGATTTTTGCAACAGTAAGTCAGAGTAGCGGGTGCTTGTCAAGTTGCGGATTGGCAGGTTTTTCAAGGCCATAGGGAAAAGAAAACAGCTTGATAGATACAACGCCTACCAACGGTTGCAGAGGAAGCTCGACCGCCTTGTCTCTAGCGGTGGAGATTCTGGGGCAATCTCGGAGGCTAAGCTTCTCCTCAGGAAGTTCTAATACGACCGGCGCGCCTCTTTGGTTCTGGAGAGGGATTATGGGAAATATCACTTGCCCGACCCTTTACAGAACTGCAAACAGAGCGCAGCACTTAAAACGGTCTCTGCCTTAAGGCATAGTACGGGGTCCCTGACAAAATCCAGGTCAGGGATCCTGGAGGTCTCTAGGTCCTTTTATGAGGACTTACTGAGTGTGAAGAGCCTTGACCGGACAAGGATGTTGAGCTTTTTGGAATCTACACCGGGTTTGGAAGGTAATGTCCCGCTGGCAAGTTTGACAGGGGTAATTACAGCAGAAGAGGTGATCAAAGCTATTGACAGTCTGGCCATTAAAAAGACTCCTGGGCCAGATGGTTTGACAGCTGAGTTTTTTAAAACTTTTAAATCCAGCTTGGCACCCCATCTTGCGGAGGTTTATAACAGCTGTCTGGATGAGGGTTCTCTCCCTCCCTCCATGAGGCGATCTGCTGTAATTCTTTTGTCAAAAGGTAAGGATCCTTCGGCTATTGAGAATTGGCGCCCCATTAGCCTTCTCAATGTCGATAGAAAGGTTCTGGCAAAGATCTTGTTCTGGCGTTTGTCGTCAGTGGCGGACGGTTTGTTCACGGCAACAGCATTGCTCGATCCAGGGTAGGAGTACCTTTACAGCGGTGTTAGCTGTCCGGGAGGCTCTGGAGCGGTGTAAGGCTGAGGGCTGGGGGAAGTACTTGCTGGCAGTGGATCAGGCAAAGGCCTTCGATCGAGTCGATCATGAGTACCTCTGGCACCTCCTGGACCGGTATGGCCTAGAGGGGAGGTTTATTGGCTGGCTTAAGACACTGTATAGAGAGGCTGAAGTTTCATGTTGGTGAATGGTTGGGTTGAGCGGCCTTTTGGGGTCAGATCTGGTGTGCGCCAGGGGTGCCCGCTGAGCCCCTTGCTCTATGTCTTTGTCATCGATCCCTTCGTCAGGAGGTTGGATGGTGGGGCGTTGGGCGGGGTGCCGGTGGGTGCTGCTGGGGGTCCCTCTCTGAAGGTCGTTGCTTACGCTGATGACATGTCTGTCTTCATCTCCAGGACTGAGGAGGCGCAGGAGGTAGTCTCGGTGATGGATCAGTATTCTGAGGCGTCAGGCTCCAAGGTCAACCAGGATAAATGTGAAATTTTCTGGATGGGTAGGGATGGTGAGAACTTCTCACTCCTGGACACCTTCCCAGTGCCTCAGCAGAGTATAAAAGTCCTAGGCTCCTAGCCTAGGAGTATAAAAGTCCTAGGCTGATTACAGCAAGTCAAATTGGGAGGCTAGGCTGTCTGTTGCCGAGGTCAAAGTGAGGTGTTGGAAGGGGTGGCGGCTCTCTTTAAGGGAAAGGGTCGACTTGATTAAGACTTTCCTGGTTCCCATCTTTTTGTATGTCAGCTTTGTCTGTCTTTTGCCAGAATCGCTCTATACGAGGATCTACAGCTGCTTCTTCCAGATGTTATAGGGGAACAGGCTGAACCTTGTCAAGCGGGATGTAACTTACTCATCCAGGCGGGAGGGTGGCCTAGGTATGGTCAACCCGATAGTTTTCTTTTCTCTGATGTTCATGAAACATAACTTTGGTAATATGCTGGCAGAGAGACCGCCTGCATGGGTAGGGCTGTTCCGGATCTGGTTCAGACCCTTTCTGAGCTGTTGGGAGAGTGGCGGGCCAGTGAAAAGCCTGCGGGTCAAGCACGGCAAGCTCCCGGCTTATGTGGCCCCGAGCCTGAAGTTACTCCGGCGGTGGCATGTGACGGTGGAGGAGATCAGATCTCTCCCTAGGAAACTCCTGGGTGAGAGGATTGTGACAACCGCTTTCCATGCGCCGCTGGCCTTAAAAGATTGCCCAGGCCATATTATGAGGGAGGGTTTGCGCTTAATAAATCTGGAACGGGTCCCCTTGAAATTTGGGGACCAGGCCTGGCTCGCTTTCCATGGTAGGCTGTACGTGAGGGGTAACTTGAAGTACCATCCTCTGGATGACCGTGGTTGTCCGAGGTCGGAGTGTCTGGGGGAAGTGGAGACTATGGACCACTTCTTGCTTCAGTGCCCCTTTAACGTAGAGGTGTATAAAGAGGTGGGTGGTGCTCTGGGTGTTCCTTTCCTGCACCGCATGTCTTAGGCGGAGTGGGTGTATGGAGCATTCGAAAGTCGTCTGGATTTTGATTTAGACACTTTGTTCTTAGTCAGTTTAGTAGTCCGTTACTACTCGTGGAATGCACGGTGTCAGGTCTCCATGCGGCAGAAAGTCCTCCCCGTCCAGGTGGTGGTGTGTGACATTCTTGGTGAGGTTGGGAAGATTCGAGGCCTTGAGAAACACAGGTGGCGGCGAAAGGCTTGGATGGAGGCGTGGAGGAACATCAGGCCTGTAGCTGCTGCCTGTTGATCTCGGGTGGTGGTATCTGTCCTTATTTTCCCTTTATCACCCCCCTAGATTTTGGAAGTATGTTTCTTTTTGATGGAAGGCTGCAGGTATTGAAAATCTGTGTTCCTTAATCTTCTTTAGGGTATGTATAGAATGTTTGTTTGGTTCAAGCTTAGTTATTGTAAAGCCTTGCAGTGTTTGGCCATAAAGGCCATTTGTGGAGGATGGAAATTGTATATAGTTTGTGTCTTGGCCATAAAAGCCTGTTAAAAGAAAAAGTTATTATTTTTCCAGGTATGGACTTATCTGTTGCAGGCCATAAAGGCTTCCTTTTCTTTCAGGAAGTTCCCGGACTTTTATGTTTCCTGCATGAAGGATATGCTTATGTTTACATTTATTTATTCATATTTATCTTTTTGTATTTTTATAGAAAATTAATGCTGGTTGGTTTGTAAGCACAAATTACAAATAAAATATTACCAGATATAGTGAATGCAGTGTCCGGGGAGACAGGATATAGTGAATGCAGGGTCCGGGGAGACAGGATATAGTGAATGCAGGGTCCGGAGAGACCAGATATAGTGAATGCAGGGTCCGGGGAGACCAGATATAGTGAATGCAGGGTCCGTGGAGACCAGATATAGTGAGTGCAGGGTCCAGGGAGAGCGGATATAGTGAATGCAGGGTCCTGGGAGACCAGATATAGTGAATGCAGGGTCCGGGGAGACCGGATATAATGAATGCAGGGTCCTGGGAGACCAGATATAGTGAATGCAGGGTCCGGGGAGACCATATATAGTGAATGCAGGGTCCGGGGAGACCGGATATAGTGAATGCAGGGTCATGGGAGAGCAGATATAGTGAATGCAGGGTCATGGGAGAGCAGATATAGTAAATGCAGGGTCCGGGCAGACCAGATTTCGTAAATGCAGTGTCCGGAGAGACCAGATATAGTGAATGCAGGGTCTGGGGAATCCAGATAAAGTGAATGCAGGGTCCTGGTAGACCAGATATAGTGAATTCAGGGTCCGGGGAGACCGGATATAGTGAATGCAGGGTCCGGGGAGACCAGATATAGTGAATACGGGGTACGGGGAGACCAGATATAGTGAATGCGGGGTCCGGGGAGGCCAGATATAGTGAATGCAGGGTCCGGGGAGAGCAGATATAGTGAATGCAGGGTCCGGGGTTTATTAAATCTTTAAGATCAAATTCAGAAAACAAATGCAAAGATGTAAAAGTATCAAATATATTTTTACATTTTTGGATTTGTATTTTCCTGCATCACTGATAATGGAGCCCTTTTCCCTGATGAAGTGTGTTTGTCCATGAAGTGTGATGGCTCGCCCATTATTCATTAAAGCCGTATGAAACCCAAAACAAACTTTTATTATATTGCAGCTTACTGATTCTTAGATGTGGCGGCTGCATTCATTTTCATTATTATTTTCTTTCCTTTATTTTCACTTGGTGATCCAGCCAGTAAGTTTTTTGTTTTTTAACTAAACAAGATCTCCTGGAAATTGGTCACTTAAGATTGTCAAGACAAACCATTTACTACTAACAGGCGAGCACACAGTGATCAGCTCTTATTTCTTCATGTAAAACCTTTCTCCCAAAAGAAAAAAAAATGTTGTTGCAACTGCTTGTGTAATGGCAGTTAGACATGTGCAGAACGTAAAAGTTCATTTTATTTCAATTTATAATTTAAATAATTTTGTTTAGGTTACTTTGTTTTTGGAATTTGCTTAGTTTTTTTGTTTTGAAATAACATTCGATTCAATTTGAATTTAATTTGACCAAATTCATAAAATTCAAATTCAAATTTATTCTATTAGAAATTTGAATTTTGGAAGACGGGTTTATTCTTTCTGTTCTATTTTATTTTTTGCGGTTTTTCTCTATTTTCTTATTTTCTATCTTAATCTTTTCTATTATATTCTAATCTATTCTATTCAAATTTATTCTACTGGAAATTCTAATTTCAGAAGACATTTATATTCTATTTTATTCTATTCTATTGTTTTTTTTTTATTCTGTTCTTTTATTTTCTCTTCTCTTCTATTGTATTGTTATTCAATTCTCTTCTATTCTGTTCTATTCTTTTTTTTTTTTTTCGCTTTTATGTTCCATTCTATCCTTTTCATTTTTGAGTTTGATTTCAATTCGAACTAGAGTCTAATTTGATTCAAGTCCAAGTTTTGTCCGAATTTTGTTTCGTTATTTTTTCGGACTGTGATTCGGAAATTCAGATACTTCTGAATAACAAAAAAATTCATCCGAATTTCGATTTGGAACAAATCAAACTGCACTGAAATTTGCCTTTAGTGTATCTAAATCTGCTAGTACAGACTGACAATACTGCTGTTTACTGTGCCCCTGTGCCCCTTCATCCAGAATGGGGGCACTGTTATACAGGAGGTGGGTTACTGGGCAGATCAACAGGTAAAAACAGGGAAAGAAGCCTACAAAAGAAAACTAATGCAGGCAATGATTGGTAAGCTGCAATACAGTTGCAAGAAAAAGTATGTGAACCCCTTGGGATTATGTGGAGTTTTGCATGAATTGGGCATAAAATGTGCTCTGAACGTCATCTAAGTCACAACAATAGAAGAACACAGTCTGCTGAACATAATACTACACAAAACATTAGATGTTGCCATGGTTTAATTGCACATAACATGTAAACATTCACAGTGCAGGGAGGAAAAAGTATGTGAGGTCCTAGCTTAATGACTTCTCCCAGAGCTAATTGGAGCCAGGAGTGAGCCAACCTTGACTCCAATCAGTGTGATGATATTGGATGTGTTGCTGACAGCTGTCCTGCCCTTAAAAAACACACACCTGTTTTTGGTTTACTGGTTTCAAGAAGCACTGTCTGATGTGAACCATGCCTCGCAGAAAAGAGCTCTCAGAAGACCTACAATCAAGAATTGTTGACTTGCATGAAGCTGGAAAGGGTTGCAAAAGCAATAGGGGATCATGGGGCCCCTGTGTCCTTGCCCACACTGAAACCACACCCAAAAAAACCTATGAAAGGCACCAAGGACATCTCATGGGGCCCCTTACTGACCCTGGGCCCTTGGGCAATGCCCGAGTACCCAAATGGTAAGTCCACCCCTGGACTGAACTGTATTTTTAGCTCTGATCACTGTATTGGTGTCACTGGTTCTCACAAAGTGTCAGTGTAAAAATGTCCAACGCAATATCGCAGTCCCGCTATAAGTCGCTGATCGCCGTCATTACTAGTATATATATATTATTTAAAAAATCCAGTATATATACCGACGTAAACTATTCAATATACGCTTCTTGGGAATTTTTTTACCAAAAATATATAGCAGAATACATTTTGGCCTAAATTTTATAAAAATATTTGATTTTTTTTAAATTGTTTTATATTGGATTTGTTTTATAGCAGAAAATAAAAATAATTGTTTTTTTTTTCACATTGTCGGTCTTTTTTTGTTTATAGCGCAAAAAAGTAAAAAACGCAGAGGAGATCAAATACCCCCAAAATTAAGCTCTATTTGTGGGAAAAAAGGACATACATTTTAGTTATGTACAGCGTTGCATGACCGCGCAATTGTCAGTTAAAGTAACATAGCATCATATTGCAAAAAATGGTCTGTTCAGGAAGGGGGGGGGGGAATCTTCTAGAGGTCAAGTGGCTAAAGATCTATCTAATTTTTCATTTTATTGAGTTCATGTAATCCATGGTAAAGTTCTCTGAGCTCTGATGAAGGCGGAGTGTTGTTGGACCCTGAAACGCGTTGGACGTTTGATGAGATCATATGATGAGCAATTGAAGCAATTTGGACAATTTGGCTCTTGTTGGACGTTTTTTTGCTCTGGGCTCTAACCTTCCACATTCCATCTAAAACTAAACCACAAAAACATTTTGGCTTTAGATCCACTTAGCCATGTTACCTCTCCTCTTTATTTCCAACAAAAAATATTTTTTTTTTATAAGTTAATCAAATAAATGAAAGGATGTCTTCATAGAGTTACAATACATCTTAGTCTGGATTGGTCAGTCTGTGTAAGATAAGCAATCAGATTGCAAGCTCTGCTGTCCAATTGATTTATACTTTGATTTGAACTTATTGCCTGTTTGGTCAATGGGATTTATTATTAGATAATCAGATAATGGAGTGTAATTCTTTTTTTTACAAACATCTAGACTGAAATATTCTCTTGGTGTAGACGGTAATCTCTAATGCCCACACCTGTAATTACTCGTCGGGTGAATTGTAACTAATGTAATGGTTGCTTTTCTTCCATCACAAATTAAATGAGCTCACTAAGGACTTTCCTTCCTTAGGAGTGCAGACTGTGAATGTTCTACAAGGCCGGGCCCAAGGGAAGGTTTTAAAGAACAGAAAATTATCCCCGTTGATAGAGAATTATCTTTTGTTTTCAGAATAATTATCTCTTACTGATGCAAACAGAAGGCAATAACTAAATGTATTAGGACAACTGTCAACTTTGTAATGGAAACGACAAACAATAAATGACCACATCACAGTGTGAGATAGGAAAACATGTAGTACATTTTATAATAATAATAATAATAATAATAATACATTACTACTACTAATATACAGTATTTCCCCATCAAACATTTCTTTCTATATATTATTTAGTAGTAGTAATATACTGTAGTTCCCTACTAATAATTTTTCCCTATTATTACTTATTATTATTATGTAATAATAGGGAAATTATTGGTAGGGAACCATATTACTACAACTACTAATACCATGAAGAATAATAATACCATGAATAATAATAATAATACTACCATGAATAATAATAGTAATAATAATAATACTACCATGAATAATAATAATAATACTACCATGAATAATAATAGTAATAATAATAATAATAATACTACCATGAATAATAATAATAATAATAATAATAATAATAATAATAATACCATGAATAATAATACCATGAATAATAATAGTAATAATAATACCATGAATAATAATAATAATACTACCCATGAATAATAATAGTAATAATAATATTAATAATACTACCATGAATAATAATAGTAATAATAATAATAATAACAATAATAATAATACCATGAATAATAATAATAAAAATACCATGAATAATAGTAATAATAACAATAATAATACCATGAATAATAATAATGTTCTACTACTAAATAATAAAAATTAAAGTTTAATTAAGTATAATAAAAATTATTATTATATAATGTAGTAATAATAATGAAGTATTACTACTAAATAATATTAAAAATAATTATGTACTCTTACTACTACTTAATAATAATAATGTAGTGCTACTATATCATCATCATCTACTTTTGTGTGTTCCTTTGACATATAGAGTACATTACTAAAACAATTTTTATTTCATTACCCACTAAAGTGGACCTAACATCAGATATATTTTTCAGGTGTAGCGTGTTAAGTAATGTGCCAATGTAACACTTCAAGGTATTTATTACCTCTCATAAAGATCACAGTACTTCCCCTGACAATGCCTTCATCTGCTTCACTCTCCATAATAAAGGCACCATCTTTGTTCAGGCATCTTCCAGGCTCATCATCTGCTTCCTGGACTGAGATGCCGGCTCAGAGATGACACAATCATGTAAATCCTGTTGCCTGGTCACTTCTTGGCTGTGTTCACAAATGTCTAACACTGATCAGCCTCTCACCTTGTGAATTGCTACAAG